ATACGAAGTTCACTTTGAAAATTTTCCATGGAGGAGAGATGATTGAAGGCATGTCAAGGTATTACAAAGGGGGTTTTGTAGATTATTTTGATGGTGTTGATGGGACCATGTTGGGTCTTATTGAAATGAATGATTTTGCCAAACAATTAGGTTATGAGGAGCAAAATATTAGGTTTTGGTCATTCATTGTATAGGGGAGCAAAAGTCTTGACCAGTGATTCTGATGTGCTTGATATTATGAAGTTTATTCCTCATAATAGAGAGGTTCTCATTTACGTTGAACATTTAAACCATCCACAAACTATCCAGCCTTCTAGTTTGTCTTCTACTTTGCATGAAGACGAATAACTTGTTCTTGATTTTTCCTTTCTTGATGACATTAACACAGCAACACCACAAACAGAGGGCCACCCTGATCCAATTATAGAACAATAGTGATGGTCATAGTGACAGTGATGATAGTGATGTGTTAATTGATTCTGAGTATGACATGATGGAGGATGATAGGTTGTATGAGAAATATGTTGATTATGATGTTGAGTTTGTTGGTTTAGGTAAGAGTTCCCACCCTCTAAATAACATGTTGGGAGATGAAGTTAATTCTAGATTAGAAGGGGACACATTAGAACCAGTCAATAGTAGTGATGAGCTTGAGAGTTTGGCTGGTTCTGATGAAGATGAATTGTGCATGCCAAAATACCCCAAGTACAACCCTACTACTGATAGTAGGAAGTCAGTCCTTAAATTAGGACTGGTTTTTAGTACCAAAGAGAGGCAAAGTCTGCCATTGAGACTTACTGCTTTTGGGGTGGGAAGTCAATTTTCTTTGATAAGAATGACAACAGAAGGCTTAGGGCAAGGTGCAAGACTGATGGTTGTGAATGGAAAGCATATGTTGCTCCAATGCAACATGGCAGTACTTGGCAAGTTAAGGTGTTCAATGATGAACACACTATCAAAAAAAATCCTAAGGTATAAATAACAGGCTTTAGGGAACATGTGTGTTCTAAATTGAAGGCAAAAATCTCCAAACATCAGGCTTATAGGGCCAGAATTGCTGCCAGACAACTCCTTGAGGGTGATGTGAAAGAACAGTATAGTAAGTTGAGGGATTATTGTGCTGAGTTACTGAGGTCTAATCCTGGGTCAACTGTGGTCCTCAAATTAATTGAAAATGAGGGTGTGGTCAATCAGTTTCATAGGTTTTATGTGTGTTTTAAAGCTTGTAAGGAGGATTTTAAAGTTTGTAGGAAGGTGGTTAGGGTAGATGGGTGTTTTTTGAAGGGGTGCTATGAGGGTCAGTTGTTGACTGCTTGTGGGATGGATCCCAACAACAACATGTTCCCAATAGCTTGGGCAGTTGTAGAAGCTGAGACCAAAGATTCATGGCTTTGGTTTTATCTCTGTTGGGGGATGATATTGGCATAAGTGAGGTTGGGATGTGGACCTTCATGAGTGATAAACAGAAGGGTCTAGTACCAGCTTTTGAGAGTTTGTTCCCAGAGGTAGAAAATAGATTTTGTGTTCAACACCTTCATAGCAGCATGAAGAAGGATGGATTTTTAGGTTTGGCAATAAAGAAGGAATTGTGGGCTACTGCAAGATGTATTAGGGTGGAAGAGTTCAAAGCAAGAATGGATAAGTTAAAGGTTGTTGATCCTAAGGCTTATGAGTGGCTAGTGAAAGAAGACTCCAAATCAGTGGTCAAGATCTCACTTTAATTTAACACCTAAATGTGATATCTTGACCAACAACATGTGTGAGAGCTTCAATTCACTTATTCTGTGTGCTAGAGAAAAAAACATCATAGGGCTGCTTGATACAGTGAGAAACATCATGATGGAAAGGATGCATACCAACATGGAGCAAGCAAAGAAATGGGATGGTGCTATCTGTCCTAGGATAAAGATGATTTTGGATGGGAACATGAAGAAAGCAGGAGAACTCATTCTTATGAGGTCTGATGAGTGGAATTTTTAAATCATGGGGCCTTTTGAATAGCACACTGTTGATGTTCTTGGAAGATCTTGTTCTTGTAGGAAGTGGGAATTGACTGGACTCCCATGTAAGCCATTTGGTGTAGAAAAGAAGAACCAGGGTGGTATATTCATCAGTTGTACACTGTTGAAACATATAGAAAGGCATATGAACTGCCAATATTAGGGATAAATGGTCCTAATTTGTGGCCTAATGTTGAACTTCCCCCACCTATCCCTCCTGCAATTGTGAAGAGACCTGGAAGACCTAAGAAGGCAAGGAAGAGAAATCCAACTGAGCCACCAAGTGCATTGCCTCATAATTCTCTGAGATTGAAAAAGCACCAGAGGAGTGTGACATGCAGAGTTTGTGGAGAACATGGTCACAATGCTAGAAAGCATAAGAAGGCTGACCAAAATGAAAAACAAGAGGAGATCCCAGTGAGTGAATCTCAGCCTCCACCAGCTAGTGACCATGTTTTCTCAAGTCAGTGACTTGCACCAACACCTCCAAACAACAACAATGATGCTGAAGCTAGCAAAAATAGGGTAATTTACCCTTTTTATCTTCTTTTTATTTGTACCTCATCCTTATTTACTATGTCTTTTACTCTGTGTTTTGATTTAAACTTGTCATATATTTATTTTGTCTATTTTTATAGTCTCAGGAAAAGAGAAGGACAACAAGGAAGAGAACAAGCAGTCAGTTGGATGGAAATGGGAATGAGGATCAAGGACATACTGTCAATCTGAGTTATTGTGTTATAGAAGTGTGAATTTTATTTCAGTTGGATTGGAGTTTGAGTTCTTTGTGCAGAATAATTCCTTAATCACTTGTACAAATACAGATCACTCAATCTGAGGGAGTCACTTGTCCTGTTGTGGTGAAAGGAGGTGTGAATTACATAACAGTCTCCAACATCAGAGCTGCTTTGAGGCCAAGGAATGGGGCAGCTCCTGGTAAGGACAAGGCTGCAAACAAATAACTCTGGATTTGTGTTGGTGTTGGCTTATTCTGAAATTATTTTGTTTGATTTTTTGGATTTATTTTATTTTGATTGTGTTGTGATGGGATAATGATTTCTTTGATGATTTTGGCTTGACTGTGGATTTCTGTTTATGATGATGGATTTTTATAATGGATTGTAGTTTGAACAAGGATGTGGAATGTGTTTTTTCTGGTGATTGATTTGGAAAATGAGATAATGTGTTCTTTTGTCAAGATAATGTTGATTGGGTTGTTCATTGAGTTGATTGAGTTCTGACAGGATAATGTTGTTCATTTGCATTAGATTAAGTAATTTGTAATGTAATACATAAGTTGGAAAATGAAAATGATGATTTCATTGACTTGGAAAATGCTGATTACATAAGTTGCATTTGCTAATTGCTAGTTTTTGCTACTTAGTACATGGAACACAATTACTACAAGTATAAAAAAGACTCCTACTTTTACAGTGGGATTTTTCTTTTCATTTTTTAATGCAGCTAGTTGTTTTTCCAGACTCCTATTCTTGCTATTGGCTTTCCTCAATTCAGCTTCCAATTTTCCTTCTCTTATCATGAAGTCATTGAGCTCATCCTCAAACTTGTTCAATTTTGAAAGCAGTCCGGGTATTATTTGTTTGGAACAAGCACACATTTCTGGATCCAACCA